CTTGTTTTCCACCCTCTGTAGCCAGGAGGTTGCAACGCTCATGTCTTCCTAGAAAAAAAATCACTGCTTATATTTATGCATTCGTAGCAGGTTTTGAGTTAGATTTAGTTTCGGTGGCTGAAGGTTCAACATTTTCTGAATATTTTCCTTCAAAACCACAACCATCTTTGGCAGCAAAGGAGCTGAGGGATGAATAGGCTTCCATGTTGCTTGGTTATAGATAGGGAGAAGCCGGCAGAAATTTGCAAGCATTTGCATATATACAATTGTCTGCCTGATGTTTGCTTCCAGTGCTTGCCCTCCTCCTCTGCCCCCTGTTCTCTTTGTGCAGTGAATTACTAATACAGATGCAGATAATGAAATTTTCTGATCCCGGCCTGAAAAGCCCACGCACATTTTGGAAGGTATCTGGGGAAAATGGATGGGTTCTCTTGATCTTGTTGCTGTATCCACACAAGGAAATGAAGAGGAGAAAGCAATTACAGGGACTTGTCTTTGAAGGTAGCATGAGTGGCACTGACAGGATTTCTTTTCAGAGAATCGTGTAGAGATGCTCTTTTCTTGTTAATACCAATAGGTATTTGCCTGGAAATAGAGTTTACTTATTAAAACGTGTGTTCAGCAGATGGGGCGCTGTCCACAGGAGGCGGGACAAGTTCCGTCGTGCTTCCGAACAGAGTGGGTCTAGGGCAGGTGAAATTTGCCCCCAGGATTGAGGCGTTCCCGGGGGAAGCCATGAGAGTGCAAATCCTAGAGGCAGGAGGAAAGGGAACCTGCCCCTGAAGCATCCCTGCTCCTGCAAACTCAGGAGCCACCAGCTTCCTAAGCAGAAGTGCCAGTTTGTTGGGCAAGTGGAGGGGGTGGCTCAGTGGCCCTGATTAGGTGACGGTGACATCAGTCATGCTCAGCTTCCCTGACTCCAGAATATGTCCCTATTGGCTATTAGAACTTCCCTGGCGAAAAGAGCTGAAAATCAACTTTACCTGGAAACTTTTTAGGGTGACCAACATTTTCTTCTACCTATTCCTGCCATGGACCAAAAGTTAACACTCTGCTAAGCTAGTAACTAAAGTGAAGCCCATGGTTTCTTAAACAAACACTCAAATGAGTAAGCAATGACATTCTAATTCACCTTGGGTCCCAAAAATGCACGTCTACTATATACTTCCTTTTTTTAAAGTAAATTACAAAAAATATGTTTTTATTGATTGATTGATTTTTTTTTTTTTTTTTAGAGAGAGAGGAAGGGAGAGGGAGAGTGAAATATCCATGAGAGAGAAACATTGATTGGCTGCCTCCTGCATGTCCCCTACTAGGGGTCAAACCCACAACCGGGAATCAAATCTGTGACCTCTTGGTGCATGGGACAACGCTCCGCCAACTGAGCCGTGCCCAGGGGGCTCTTTACTTCCTTATAAATAGTCTTTGATTTTTACCTATTGTTGATCTCTTATCATCTGTCACATAGCCAATGCCAATTCTGTTTGTCTGAACAGGTCTCTAAACAACCTGAGTTTGTGTTGACAGCTTGTATGAAAAGAACAAATATTTGCTTCTTATTTCATGTAAATATGCGCATGCTGTCAAAGGAGACTGGCTTTAAGAGGCTAAGGTTTTGTCTTTCATCGCTCACTAAGGGACAGCTAATCTATATCAGAGATCATTCTAGATGTGGGAGCGCAGCGTGGAAAATACAGACCTCCCACTGGTTGCAATGACATTAGTAGAAAAAAAAAAGGTTATGAAATGTTTATTCTGTCATGCCGCCTAAAATACATTGGGAATAGAACAAAACAGAGAGAAATGGTTTAGAAGACCGTTCTAACAGCTATTACTCTGTTGGAAATTAGTTTAGAGATATTCTAACACTTTAAATAGACAATGCGAAATAACTTTACATTAGAACAGCGTTGAGTAAAAACAGTGATAGCCTTATTTCAGATCCAGTGGCTTCATTTTTTTGAAACCACTGGTATTAAGGAACTCGGTGGGCAATCGCTGGGTTCTTGGCTTTTTATCAAGTCTTTCGTGGCCTCGCCTTTGGAGCACATAATGGGGTAGGCAGAGGTGCACCGTTACGGCTGCAGTGTTGGGGCAGAGAGTGAGTGACAGACTATTTCTCTTAAAAACGAAAACAGTGGCATCCTCATGGAGCCGCTGGACTGCACACCGTGGATGGTTAAGCGAAGTTCACTTGCAGGTAGAATGGATGCCGACCTGAATATGAAATAGTCATTATGCGCCATATTGCTGTGTTTGGACTCGCGCTACAGGCCTGTAGGTGGGACTGGCCTGCCTTCCCCTCTGACCTGCTTCCTCTCTCAGGACGCCCGCTGTGCAGGGTCCCTGGGGTATGTCAGCCCCGGAGCCACCTCACTGACCTGCCTGTTGTCCCCCTTCCCCCTCACACAGTGAAGGAGTCACTGTCCGCGTCCTACCATCTGCCTCCTACAACACACTTTATGACACAGAAGGAGAATTTTAATAAGACCTCCAAAGGGTCTGCTGCCAATTGCAGAGGAAAGGTTTCCTGCAAAGGAAGCGCAGGGAAACTCCCCAGAGAAGGAGAAAGCTGTTGAAACCCCCCCTAGTGAGAGGCACCGGTGTCATCCCATTTTATTGTCTACCTGTCACCACGGCCCTTGCCTGATTCTGACAGGCCGCTCTTTTCTCCTGTAGCCAGTGCTGCTTCATGTCATTTTCTTGGTCCAACGTCTTCATTTCTGACTTGTTACAAACCATTAACTAGTTTCCAGTTTTCAGTGTCCTGGCTACTTTCGACTAGTAAGGCATTTGGCGTAACAAGGTTTCCCTTGATCTTCTTGCTGAAGGAATCCCTCCACGAAATGATCAGCCTTCCTGTGTTTATGAATCCTAGCAGATAGGAGGTGTCTGTCATCCGAGGCCAGGCGCGTGTTCGGAGAGCGTCTCCCAGTTCACATGATCGGAACTGACAGGCAGCGGCTGACCATTAGGCTTCAAGGCTCCCAGTCGTGCAGCTGAAAAGCAGAGCATTTTACAAATGTACTTACTTGCGATGGTTTCAAATAAACACACACAGTTTTTAATTAGATTTCCTGGCTGCAGTGTGTTCAAACATAAATTTTTTAAAAATGTATTCTGAAAAGCATGAAGCGGTTTAACAGTTGTCAATCTTTATAAACACACTTTGAAGGGGTGGTGATTTGTAGCTTTGTCAACATGAAGACTGGCTGCTTTGGACATTGATGTTAAAAATAATATATTCAGACGTGTGGCTTGATGACATAGAGGAAACCATTAGAAGCAACTTAGAGTCAGTTTGCTTTTGCGTAAAGCTACTCGCACATGAAATGACTGTAAGTAAAACTGAAATAATCTTTTCCTAGATTACTCTATAGCATTCAGGTTTTAACAATATATTTTAAAAATGCACTTAAATGTTATGAGCAAATCTATTAATGAAATATTATACTATTTAAATCCTTAATGGGAATATTTATTGATTCTTGCCTAATAAATGGATTAAGGAGATTTAAAAAATCAGTTACTGACCTTGCAATTCTACCTCTAGGACTATCTTGGTGAAGTCTGTCTTAGTGAAATAGATGAGCAGGTGCACAGCATATACGCCCAGTGTGTGTGTGGCATTGTTTTTTAATTGTGAAAAATCTGACATGCTGTAACAATCTATTAATGATGGAATGGATAAATGAGCCATGGTACCTCTCTATAAAATGGATGACTATATTGTTTTTTGAAAAGTGAGCTACAAATGTATGTGCTGATATGGGGAATGTCTTTGACATATTGTTGAGCGAAAAAAGCAACTTGCAGCACAGTATATAGAGTGCTATACTGTTTTTGAGGATAGAGGCAACTCTCTCTCCCCACCTCCTCTGTCTTTGTATAAGCATAGAACATTCTGGAAAGATACACACCAGACAACCTCTGGGTGTGAAAGAGTGGGGGAAATAAGAAGAAAGACCTGATAGTTTGCTCCATATTGTTTGAATTTAGATTCTCTGATGTTTCTAGACAATAAGAGTTCCCTTGATAATGTGATTAAATAATTTAAAAAGGAAATCTCATGTCACGGAAAGTTTAGGATAAAAAGAGGTAAATGGCCCAGCTGGTGTGGCTCAGTGGTTGAGTGTTGACCTATGAACCAGGAGGTCGTGGTTCAATTCCTGGTCGGGGCACATGCCTGGGTTGTGGGCTCCATCTCCAGTGTGGGGAGTTGCAGGAGGCAGCCGATCAATGATTTTCTCTCATCACTGATGTTTCTATCTCTCTCTCCCTTTCCCTTCCTCTCTGTACTCAATAAACATTATATATATATATTAAAAAGAGGTAAATGTGGCTAGTTAAAGACACAAAGAGGCTGGCTTCCTTCCACTCAGTCGGCTCTGACACTTGGAGCATGTGTGTCCGTCGATGATTTTAACAGCAGAACCTCAAAGTCTGGGTGCACCTGCTGTCAAGCCTGAGGCTGTGTCATTCCCGGCAGCGACAGTGGTCCTCGGTTGGTCTCCTGGTGCTATATTTCCAGTCAGCTCATAAATTATTAATAGTACATGTGTAGGTCAGAGACACACTAACCCTGACAATCATTCCATAATATTCTCTCTTTAGCATTAGAAGAGAAGAGAAGGGAGTGATCAATATGCAACATCAGAGGTCCATCTCACATAGATACGGGATATGCACTTAGAAAAAAAGAGTCAGGTCTTTACAAAAACCTGTCAGCCTGGCATTAATCTTGTATTATGAATAATGTGGCTATCTATGAATCTTTAATATTTTTTAAATGATGAAATTGTATGGTATGCGCTCCCAAAGCAAATTTGATACAATGTGGGAATAGTTTGATCAATGAAGATGTTGATATACATGAATAAAAAAAATGTAAGCCTAGCTCATTAAAGCAGAAAAAAGAACAGCTACACGTTGACCTCAGGGTACATTTTCAGCCCTAGTAAATTTAATTCTAGCATGATCCAGAATGCCTAGAAGTGATTCTGTAAGGTATTAAATGATTGTTTGGTTGAAACCATCATCCCATGAGACAAGAGGCTCTGGTAATACTCCACTAACAACCAATATGGTGCTGGCTCCTAGCTTATACTCAAAACCATATTTGAAAATTCCTAACAAACACATAGATTAATGCTTCATATATACGATACAGCAGTGCTTGAGAAAGATTACGAAGCCAATGGTTTGTTGGAAAGAATGTGATGTTATATTCATCCCCTCTCCCGCCCGCCTCCCCCATGCAGTAATCTGGGAATAATTTGTTCCAGGTTTTAATTTTCAGTGAAAGTAAGAAAAGTAGATCAAGAACTTTGCTTAGGAAATTTGCCTAATGAAGAAATTTTAATCAGTGCTTATTGAACTGAAGATAAAAATATAGTTTGTTTCTACAGATTTGAGGAGAATTAACATGTATCTGATTGTTAATATTTGATTCTTGTTTAATTATTTATGATATCAAGGAATGAATCTGTCAAGTAAATAATGAAATGCGTACATGCAGCATATGTAATTAGGTTAGGTGCATAAATCCAAAATGTTCACTTTGTAGTTGTCAGTGTAAAATTTATTAATAATGAGAAATGGTAAGGGAAGAAAATTCTTAACACAGTCTACCTCATTAGTGTGGATTATAGCGATGTTGGTCAGAGAAGAAGAGGAAGAGGAGGAGGATGAAGAGGGGGACATTAGGCTTCGTTTTCTTCGTTGTGCTTTAATTGTTTAAAAATATTAGTGAATTGGAGCACATTTTCCATTCTCCTGTACAGAAATGTATGATTTGAACAATGAGCGGTGGGTTTGAGTGAATGCTGCAAGTGGAATAATTCCATATTAAAAATATACAAGTCCCAGGCATTCTAAACCTGAACAATTACTTATGGGGATGATTCAACTAAGGTTTAGAAAGGAAAAATCTACTTTTATGATTAAACTGTCAGATCCTAATCTTAAATTTGGCTTCCAATTCACCAATGGTGAAAAGATGGCAAACAAGGCGTTATCCACTGAACTCCTCCATTTTCCCTTTCTTCACTAGCTGGGTGGGAGGGCAGGAGAGAAGCTCTTTGTCAAGCACATTCCTGCACCCCGGGCTGCTGGGAAATGTCATGGAGTGGATTTGAGGAGAACATACCTGTGAGTGGGGCTTGATGGTCCGTACTGCTAGTGCGATCTCTGGATACGATGGGCTGGAGCTTAGAGGACACGCTCTCTGCCCCTGAGGATATAGTATGAAACCTGCCCCTGCAGGGACCTGGCTGAGTGGGTGCCACCAACTCCGTAGTAAGGAATCTGATTGATAACCTGGTTAGATTTAGTTTTGTCCTTAATGTTAATCATTAATAGCATTGTGTGGCATAAAGGGCAATCAACCAGAAAACAAGATAATGAGATCCCACACAACCACTAACTAGCTTGGAAACTTCCAGAAAGTTCTCTAAATTCAAGGGCCTCAGTTTCTTCCCTTATCAAATTAGAGGGCTGTAATTCTGGCTTTAATGGTCTACGATTCACAGAGATGGTATTGCAATATATCAGATTTTGTGCAACCAAGTCCACGAGCTTCTTGAAAAAAGGTGGGGAGAGAGGTAGTATTATTATACGAACATTCATCATCTGACTAGGATAGTTACAGAGGCAGTTACACATTTATTAGAAGATAGAAGATATAATCACAAAAGGAAATCCATGTTCGTAAATGATATGAATCTAACTAGAACTACCACTTAAGAACTTTCCGCCTCACATATATAAAAGTTAAAAGAGAACTAGAAGTCCTCCTTAGGATAAGGAAGTGACATTACAAAACATAGAGTGTATGTTGCAATTTTGCTACCTGCCTTGATTAAAAGAGGGGAATGGTTATTTAATCATTTTATCCTCAAAAGCTTCTGTGATTTACAGGTTTTCAAAAAGGATCATATGCTGATGGTGAATGATCCAGTTATCAGATTATTTGCTAAATCAAAGGAATGATTTGCTATTCTCCTGACCTTGATTCCCAGATTTCTACAAACTAAAGAATTTAGGCCCAAAATGGCTGAATTCAGTCAAGCACTAATATTGTGAAAGGAGATCCCCTAGGTCAGTGGTCGGCAAACTGCGGCTTGCTAGCCACATGCGGCTCTTTGGCCCCTTGAGTGTGGCTCTTCCTCAAAATAC